CTGCCAGTAGCAGAGTCCCAAGGATGAGCATGGCCCAGTGGGGTCTTTGCTGCCCTGCTGTGGGAAGTCCCGCCCTGCCGGAGCTGGTCTTCACCAGGGGACAGGCTTTCGGGCCCCCCCAGAGCTGCTGCATGAGGAGATGGGTGCAGCCGGGGCACCGGGCCAGTCTCTCTGCAGCCCAGCGGGGCAGGCACTGGCACAGTGACGTGCAAACCCGGCTTCGTTTAACAGCAGTCCGTGTGCTTTGCAACCCTACAGACACAGCTGTGCCGGGATGCTGCCCTCTGCCTGCCTGGCCATGGGCAGCGGGGCAGTGCGCCCCGGCAGTGTCGGTTACAGGCCTGGCCACGGGCAGCGGGGCAGTGCGCCCCGGCAGTGTCGGTTACAGGCCTGGCCACGGGCAGCGGGGCAGTGCGCCCCGGCAGTGTCGGTTACAGGCCTGGCCACGGGCAGCGGGGCAGTGCGCCCCGGCAGTGTCGGTTACAGGCCTGGCCACGGGCAGCGGGGCAGTGCGCCCCGGCAGTGTCGGTTACAGGCCTGGCCACGGGCAGCGGGGCAGTGCGCCCCGGCAGTGTCGGTTACAGGCCTGGCCACGGGCAGCGGGGCAGTGCGCCCCGGCAGTGTCGGTTACAGGCCTGGCCACGGGCAGCGGGGCAGTGCGCCCCGGCAGTGTCGGTTACAGGCCTGGCCACGGGCAGCGGGGCAGTGCGCCCCGGCAGTGTCGGTTACAGGCCTGGCCACGGGCAGCGGGGCAGTGCGCCCCGGCAGTGTCGGTTACAGGCCTGGCCACGGGCAGCGGGGCAGTGCGCCCCGGCAGTGTCGGTTACAGGCCTGGCCACGGGCAGCGGGGCAGTGCGCCCCGGCAGTGTCGGTTACAGGCCTGGCCACGGGCAGCGGGGCAGTGCGCCCCGGCAGTGTCGGTTACAGGCCTGGCCACGGGCAGCGGGGCAGTGCGCCCCGGCAGTGTCGGTTACAGGCCTGGCCACGGGCAGCGGGGCAGTGCGCCCCGGCAGTGTCGGTTACAGGCCTGGCCACGGGCAGCGGGGCAGTGCGCCCCGGCAGTGTCGGTTACAGGCCTGGCCACGGGCAGCGGGGCAGTGCGCCCCGGCAGTGTCGGTTACAGGCCTGGCCACGGGCAGCGGGGCAGTGCGCCCCGGCAGTGTCGGTTACAGGCCTGGCCACGGGCAGCGGGGCAGTGCGCCCCGGCAGTGTCGGTTACAGGCCTGGCCACGGGCAGCGGGGCAGTGCGCCCCGGCAGTGTCGGTTACAGGCCTGGCCACGGGCAGCGGGGCAGTGCGCCCCGGCAGTGTCGGTCACAGGCCTGGCCACGGGCAGCGGGGCAGTGCGCCCCGGCAGTGTCGGTTACAGGCCTGGCCACGGGCAGCGGGGCAGTGCGCCCCGGCAGTGTCGGTTACAGGCCTGGCCACGGGCAGCGGGGCAGTGCGCCCCGGCAGTGTCGGTTACAGGCCTGGCCACGGGCAGCGGGGCAGTGCGCCCCGGCAGTGTCGGTTACAGGCCTGGCCACGGGCAGCGGGGCAGTGCGCCCCGGCAGTGTCGGTTACAGGCCTGGCCACGGGCAGCGGGGCAGTGCGCCCCGGCAGTGTCGGTTACAGGCCTGGCCACGGGCAGCGGGGCAGTGCGCCCCGGCAGTGTCGGTTACAGGCCTGGCCACGGGCAGCGGGGCAGTGCGCCCCGGCAGTGTCGGTTACAGGCCTGGCCACGGGCAGCGGGGCAGTGCGCCCCGGCAGTGTCGGTTACAGGCCTGGCCACGGGCAGCGGGGCAGTGCGCCCCGGCAGTGTCGGTTACAGGCCTGGCCACGGGCAGCGGGGCAGTGCGCCCCGGCAGTGTCGGTTACAGGCCTGGCCACGGGCAGCGGGGCAGTGCGCCCCGGCAGTGTCGGTTACAGGCCTGGCCACGGGCAGCGGGGCAGTGCGCCCCGGCAGTGTCGGTTACAGGCCTGGCCACGGGCAGCGGGGCAGTGCGCCCCGGCAGTGTCGGTTACAGGCCTGGCCACGGGCAGCGGGGCAGTGCGCCCCGGCAGTGTCGGTTACAGGCCTGGCCACGGGCAGCGGGGCAGTGCGCCCCGGCAGTGTCGGTTACAGGCCTGGCCACGGGCAGCGGGGCAGTGCGCCCCGGCAGTGTCGGTTACAGGCCTGGCCACGGGCAGCGGGGCAGTGCGCCCCGGCAGTGTCGGTTACAGGCCTGGCCACGGGCAGCGGGGCAGTGCGCCCCGGCAGTGTCGGTTACAGGCCTGGCCACGGGCAGCGGGGCAGTGCGCCCCGGCAGTGTCGGTTACAGGCCTGGCCACGGGCAGCGGGGCAGTGCGCCCCGGCAGTGTCGGTTACAGGCCTGGCCACGGGCAGCGGGGCAGTGCGCCCCGGCAGTGTCGGTTACAGGCCTGGCCACGGGCAGCGGGGCAGTGCGCCCCGGCAGTGTCGGTTACAGGCCTGGCCACGGGCAGCGGGGCAGTGCGCCCCGGCAGTGTCGGTTACAGGCCTGGCCACGGGCAGCGGGGCAGTGCGCCCCGGCAGTGTCGGTTACAGGCCTGGCCACGGGCAGCGGGGCAGTGCGCCCCGGCAGTGTCGGTTACAGGCCTGGCCACGGGCAGCGGGGCAGTGCGCCCCGGCAGTGTCGGTTACAGGCCTGGCCACGGGCAGCGGGGCAGTGCGCCCCGGCAGTGTCGGTTACAGGCCTGGCCACGGGCAGCGGGGCAGTGCGCCCCGGCAGTGTCGGTTACAGGCCTGGCCACGGGCAGCGGGGCAGTGCGCCCCGGCAGTGTCGGTTACAGGCCTGGCCACGGGCAGCGGGGCAGTGCGCCCCGGCAGTGTCGGTTACAGGCCTGGCCACGGGCAGCGGGGCAGTGCGCCCCGGCAGTGTCGGTTACAGGCCTGGCCACGGGCAGCGGGGCAGTGCGCCCCGGCAGTGTCGGTTACAGGCCTGGCCACGGGCAGCGGGGCAGTGCGCCCCGGCAGTGTCGGTTACAGGCCTGGCCACGGGCAGCGGGGCAGTGCGCCCCGGCAGTGTCGGTTACAGGCCTGGCCACGGGCAGCGGGGCAGTGCGCCCCGGCAGTGTCGGTTACAGGCCTGGCCACGGGCAGCGGGGCAGTGCGCCCCGGCAGTGTCGGTTACAGGCCTGGCCACGGGCAGCGGGGCAGTGCGCCCCGGCAGTGTCGGTTACAGGCCTGGCCACGGGCAGCGGGGCAGTGCGCCCCGGCAGTGTCGGTTACAGGCCTGGCCACGGGCAGCGGGGCAGTGCGCCCCGGCAGTGTCGGTTACAGGCCTGGCCACGGGCAGCGGGGCCCAGGGTGCCCCTCAGTCTCTCTGCCCATGTTCTTGCAGACGATGGGGCTGGCAAGCGGCGGCCAGGACGGCGCCATCTGCCTGTGGGACGTGCTGACAGGAAGCAGGGTCAGTCACATGTACGCCCACCGCGGGGACGTCACCTCCCTGACCTGCACCACCTCCTGCGTGATCAGCAGCGGCTTGGACGACGTGATCAGCATCTGGGACCCCAGCTCTGGGATCAAACTCTATTCCATCCAGCAGGCAGGTGTCGGGCTGGGGGGGCTGGGAGTGGCAGGCGCCCCGGGCCCTGGGGCATGTGTCTGGGGGGCTCCGATTGCTGGGGGCTCCCTTCTTCCAGATGGGGGGTGTCCAGGCCAACCCGCTCGTGCTCCCAGCTCAGCGTTCCCTAGCCAGCTGGGGCTCTGCAGGGAGCACCTTTGTGGTGGGGAGGCCGGCGCGGAGGGGCCCTGTGAGCAGCATGGACTGTGGGGCACCTGGGCTGCGCTGGGGGCAGTGCAGAAATGAGCCCCCCAGCCCGTGGGGAGCCTGGGCCTCTGCTGGGGCAAGGGTGCCTGCCTGTGTGCTCCGGGCTGCCCCCAAACTGCCACTCAAGGACCCTGGGGGATGGACAGAACAGGGCCAGAGGAGAGACGGGAGGGGGAGCTGCACCAGGTGTGGTACTGGGGAGGGGGAGCAGAGCTGCATGTGGGTGGGGTGCAGGGCCAGATGTGGGACAGGAGAGGGGAGCAAGGGTGGATAGGAGCAGGGGGGTGCAGGGCCAGGAGAGGGGGAGAAGGGCTGGA